ACCACCAACAATCCGTCTAAATACCAGCACTGCTGCCACTGGCAGTGGTTTTCATACAGCGATCACTAGAAATGCTGCGAACGGGTGCAAAAGGACGCGGGGTACGCGCTCCCTCCCACCGAGAGGCTCCAAAGAAGCTTCGCGTGCAGTCGTCAAACCGCCGCCGCAGACTCCACTGGCCGCTGCGAGGCCGGAGCCCGTTCGCCGACAATGCAAGCCGGCCGGGCGCGCTCAAGTACACGTCGCCGCCACTGCAGACGCCTCTGGTACGCCCGTCCATCCGCCGGTGCGTCATACACCTCTGCGACTCCACCCGCACGCGCCCACGTGCGTACTCCCTCGACGGCGCCGGCGTTCCCCGCAGCACGAGTATCGCGTCCCTCCCCTCCCCTGCTCGCTCAAACCCTGGCGAGCGGCAGCGGTAACCGCACACGCACCCCGTCGCTCCTCCCACACAGAAAAACCCCGCCGCACGTCCGCACGTCCGGACGAACGGCAGGCGGCTCCGGTACGCGTGTCCATCCGCCGGCGTCGCGTCGTACGCCGCGACGCCCCCAGTCGTCCTCTGCGCCTGCACCTGCACCTCCGCCAAAAAAAACGCCCGCACGCCACGTTCGCGCAAGCAACCAGCCGCATCGCCGCCCGGGAAGGATGAATTGTAAAGGGGAGCGGGAAGGGGGTGGGTGGTGTGGGCAGACCTGGGAAGGGGGAGGGGAAGGAGGGGTGGGAAGGGAAGGGAAGAAGAAGCAAGGGAGGGAGGGAAAAGGTAACGGAGTAAATAACGGTAGTAGCGACGAAGGCGAAGACGGTCGCGGTACCGCGCCGCCCATCAACGCTCTCGCTCAGCGCGTGCCCCGAGCCCTCCCTCACAGCGCGCACTCGTCCACCGCAAGCCCTCCCTCACAGCGCGTGCTCGCCGCAATAGTAACTCTAACACCGTTCCGCATCGCGATCGACGCCACGCAAACCCCGCCCACCCACCACCACGCAAGTAAAATACAAAAAAAAAACCCAAAACCCAAACGCAACGAAAAAAACGCACCTCAGTCCCGACATCCCGACTCACGCGCGTCACCTCGGTCGCAAAGTGGCCCAGGTTGTCGACCATGGTGTTGATGACCTGCGAGCGAGGGGGCGTGTTAGTATGGGAGTGCTATTTAATTATTTGAGGAGGGGCGAGAGGGGGGTAGTGGGTGGCGGGGTGAAATTTAGGGAGAGGGAGGGGAAGGTAAAAAAATAGATAAAAAAGCGTCCGCCAGCCGCGCGCGCATCGCCGAGCGACTCCAGTTTGTTCGCGCCTATGGAGCTCCCGCCCAGCGCCAGCTCCACCTCTGCCTCTGCCTCCGAGTTCCCCCGTGCGACGCGAGCGACGGTGGTGGTGGCGATCGCACACGCACACCCCGACCAAAAACTGCGCCGTACGTCCGCACGACCGGCAGACGCCTCTGGCTCGCGCTCCCACCGAAAGGCTCCAGCTCCAGCTCCACCCCCCGTGCGACGCGAGCAACGGGGGTAACCGCACACGCACCCCGTCGCTCCTCCCGCACAGAAAAACCGCGCCGTACGTCCGCACGACCGGCAGCCGCCTCTGGCTCGCGCTCCCACCGAAAGGCTCCAGCTCCAGCTCCACCCCCCGTGCGACGCGAGCAACGGGGGTAACCGCACACGCACCCCGTCGCTCCTCCCGCACAGGAAAAAAACTACGCCGTACGTTGTACGCTGACCCAACGGTCGATCGTCACCGCAGACGCCTCTGGTACGCGCATCCACGGCATCGTACAGCTCGGCGTCGTCCGTCGACTGCACCCGCTCGTGCGTGCTCGCCAGCACCCGCACCAGCCACCAGCACCCGCCCACGTGCGTACGCCCTCGACGGCGCCGTGCGACGCCCCCGGCCATCGTCCTCTGCACCGGCGCCAAAAACGCCCTGCACGCCTACGCCACGCAAGCAACCGGCCGCACCTCGGCCCTCGCCGATCTCCCCACTCCCTATAAAACTCCCACCCTTATTCCCCTCCCCTTCCCCACTTCTCTACACAACCAAAAAACCCAAACACAAAACGCACAAGAACACACGCACCTTCTTCAGCTGCACCATCAAGTCGCCCTGCACAGGCACCGTAATTTTCTGCGTGAGGTCCCCGGTGGCGACGGCGTTGCAGACGCGTGAGACGTCGCGGACCTGGAGGTGGGATGTGTTAGCGAGCGAGTTCGGGGGTTGGGGGTGAGTAAAATATGAGGGTGGGAGGAAGGCGAGGGTAGGGGAGGCGGAGAAAAGAACGAATGATAAAGAAAAAAGAAAAAAAAAAAAAATACGCGACGAATACGAATACGAATATGAATATAAATATATACATATGGGCGCCCCAGAGCCGGAACCACGTCCCAGCCAAGAAAGAGAAGAAGAGGGAAGAGGGAGGCAAGTGAAAGTAAAGGTGGGCGTCCTGTGCCAATCTTCCGTCTTCCACCAGAAAAGGAGAAGACGGAAGACGGAAGACGGAAGACGCAGCCGCAGCCGACGAAAGGCGAAAAAAAGGGCGCTCCGCGCGCAAACGCCCGCCGCAAACGAGTGAACTCGAAGGAATCAAATCCGCCCCGCCAAATCTCGCCTCGCTTGCGGAAAATTAAATGCCATATCGCGTGGTGCATCACCCCTGCTTTAATGGTCCTTTAGCTTCGATCCTGCCACCTGGATTCCAGATGCACGATCCATCTCCCCTCCCCTTCGTTCATCCAATCCAACTACCCGCTGAGACTACTCGGGATCCCTCTCCATTCATCTGCCACTCCCAAGTTGCAATTCAACGACTGGCATTGAGGAATGAGAAGCGCGGGTCTCAAATGAAAGCCCTACCCGCAGCTGGCGCTCTTTCTGCGGAACAAGTTATCCCTCATCCGAGCCTATCTTGCCGCGACCCTGGCCGCTGGCGGCTGCTGATCGATCTCACATCTCTCTCATTAATTGTGTTTGCGCCTCCGGCACGCGAATTCACTATTGGATGAACAAAAACTACTCAACACACCCAAAATAAACTCCCGCCAGCCTCTAACCTCCACACCCGCTTTTGGTATCCCCCACTCTATCCCCACCCTCGTTCAACCCGTTTGGGACACAACCTTCTTCCACAAATAACTTTTCTTTTTTTTTTCGTCTCTCACACTTCCCCGTTCCGTGTCATTTGATCTGTCCTTCCCCACCCCGTCTGTTAGACGGCGTCCCTGAGGCTGACCGCGGATCTTCCCTTCCTTTCTTTCGTCATCGCCCTAACAATAACAATAACAGCAACATAGATCGAGACCCGCGCGTGCTGCCGTAATCCCCCGCAATAGCGATAATCACAGCTGAGCCATAATTATAATCATAATTACTCGAGCTTTTCTCGGGATCTGCTGGAGCGCTAGAGCGCTAGAGTCTCATTACGTGAAGGCAAGCCTTCCTTCTTCCTTCCTTCTTCTTTCTGTTTGTCTTCCACACGAATTCTACGCGTAGGCTGAACACTGAGCGTTAGGTTGAGAACACCCCTTAGCACACAGCGCGGTGTGCACCTGCGTTACCTAGCTTGCACCACCCCGTTCGACTCGGGGTCGGGTGTGGCTTGCACCTCTTTTTTCCTTTTTTTTTTGTTTCCCTTGCTTTGCCTTTTCTTTTTTCGCTCTTTCCTTCCTTCCCACCACCCACAGACCTCTCTTACACAGACCATTCCCCTCTCGGAACTGAGGCAATATGAGGTATCTAAAACATCAATAACGTAACTCCTAACAATTTCCATTTGAAGGTTGAAGTAGGGAGGAGAACACCCAATAGCACACAGTGCGCACCTGCTTCACCTTTGATGGCGACACAGAATGTAGGCAGGACGCCCCCCGTTCGACTCGGGGTCGGGTGATAGTTCGTTCTTTGTGCCTTTTTACTTTCATCCCGATCCATCCTCACTGCACGCTGCGCCCTCCTTTTTTCAATCAACTTACAGTATTCCTATCTCGACACTCAGGGAAACCGGCCAATATGCAGTATTCAAAACACTTGGCAATTTCGCTTTCAGCCACACCACCAATTCTGCTAGCACATAACTCCAGGGTTGAAGTAGGTAGGGAACACCCGATAGCACACGGTGCGCACCTGCTTCACCTTTGTTGGCCATCAGGTGTAGGTAGGCAGGAGGCCCCCGTTCGACTCGGGGTCGGGTGATACTTCGTTATTGGTGCCTTTTTTCTTTTGTCCCGATCCTTCCTCACTGCACCCTCATTTTTTCAACCAACTTACAGTATTCCTGTCTCGAGACTCATCGGAACCAAGGCAAATATGCATTATCTAAAACGTGAATAACGTAACAATTTCCATTTCAACCACCACCAATTCTACTGGCACATAAGTCCAGGGTTGAAGTAGGTGGAGAACACCCAATGGCACACAGTGCGCACCTGCTCTCATTTCCAAGGACCAAACGGAATGTAAGCAGGAGGTCCCCGTTTGACTCGGGGTCGGGTGATAGTTTGTTTCTTTGGGCCTTTTCTTTCATCCCGATCCTTCCTCACTGCACCCTCATTTTTTTTCAACCAACTTACAGTATTCCCCTCCGGGACTCATCGGGACCGAGGTAAATATGCAGTATCTAAAACTTGAATAACGTAACAATTTCCATTTCCATTTCAACCACACCACCAGATTTGCTGAAGGTTGAAGTAGGGAGGAGAACACCCGATAGCACATGGCGTGCACCTGCTTCACCTTTGTTGGCCATCAGGTGTAGGTAGGCAGGAGGCCCCCGTTCGACTCGGGGTCGGGTGATACTTCGTTATTGGTGCCTTTTTTCTTTTGTCCCGATCCTTCCTCACTGCACCCTCATTTTTTCAACCAACTTACAGTATTCCTGTCTCGAGACTCATCGGAACCAAGGCAAATATGCATTATCTAAAACGTGAATAACGTAACAATTTCCATTTCAACCACACCACCAATTCTACTAGCACATGAGTCCAGGGTTGAAGTAGGTAGGGAACACCCGATAGCACACGGTGTGCACCTGCTCTCATTGCAAGGGACTGATGGAGTTGTAAGCAGGAGGCCCCCGTTCGACTCGGGGTCGGGTGATGGCTCTTTTCTCACCACTTTCTTTTTTGCGAGGAGTTGTGATTCTTCCTAACCACCCTCATATTTCTCAACCAACATTCCTGAAAATTAATTGAAACTGAGTGTTTAAAACCTGTTTACTTAGACAACAGATTTGCTGAAGTATATCGAGAGGTTGAACAAGAATGAAATGCCTGATAGTACACAGTGTGCATCCGTGTTACCGCTTGTGCAACAATGTGTGGGCAGGAGGTCCCTGTTCGACTTGGGGTCGGGCAACTCCCTGTTCTCATGCAAACTTTTTCCTTCCCTACGATACCCTACCATTGTCTTCCTCACTCCATCTAATTTCTCTACAATGCGCTGAAACGGGCAAGATGCGCTAACAGTGAAAATGGGCTAAATAAGCTCTGAATGCGGGCTAGCTGAACACTAACACACCACACACAAAACCTAACACAACACCAAATCCCCTACTTATACTTCACTAAGACTAAGCGCGTCTTCCTCAGTGAGTTCGGGTCCGAGCCGTAGTATGCGACTACTGGTTTGGATTCCTAGCACAACGAGAATTGAATTATGGCCTCAACTATCCCAACTAAACAAACACCGCACTCTCGGCTAGCTACCCTTGACGTTCCGAAACAAGACTTCCCAAGGTTGGGATGTACAGGTTTGGGGGTGATAAGGATGTTTACTGGGCGGACGTACAAAAGTACAGTCGTCCTAGGCGAGGTAAATGAAGTGTCTATCTGAAAACTCCCACTAATGGGCTATGCTGCTTCTCCTGCACTTCCTCTATGGCTTGGCTAGCTGAATGCTGCTAACGGCCGACTTAGACTCCTCTGAATCCAAGCTCTTTTCTGTTACACTTGGGCTTATTAAGGACCCGGAGTATTCTCTTAGCTCAACTAGTCGGTCAATGAATCGACTGGCAGTTCTACCAAAGTGCTGTGCCGGGCGTGGTCCGTTTTACGGGAGGCGTTTCCTGGTCACCCAATGCGTAGCTACCACTGAAGTCCACCACAAAGCTAGCCGCAACTCTCAAACTTAAACTCTCGTGCTCTCGGTCCTGATTTATACGTGGAGAGTGGCGCCGCTCACAACCTCCCAACGCGAAGCTTCGACTTATTGGTTCACACAGTTACTTCTGGATCCAACAAACAACACTGCGATTTCTATAGACTGGTTTACAACAGAGAAGGTACTTTATCTCCGCTTCGACTGGCCTGAGCACACCCTTATCGACAGTGCGATGAGTGGGGCATGAACTGGCTTTTAGCGGTGTTTTCTGGGTCCTTATATACTACTCAGAAGTCCATGACATAAACTCTATCTACTAATCATGCCGGGGTGATTCCTCATCCACCTGTCAACTGCCATGACGATCTTGGCCATTTATCCGAAGTCCGGGTCCAATTCTGGGTCCAATATGACCCTAGAACGGTCCAGAACGATGCTAGGCCCTCGCTAGGCCTTGGCCAGGCTAGGCCCATGACATCAGACTCTGAAATGACTCCACCCCGGAGCCTAGAGTGCATAACTCCGAAAATACTCGGAGCCTTAGCCCTTAGCTCCGAAATGACTCCACCTGCTCATATGTTGGATTGTCCACTTCGACTTCCTCAACACATCCTATCATTGCCATCCCAGGAACTGATCAGAGTTGAGCTAGCTCGCATTTATGGTACGCTAGCCACGCTAGCCTCGTAAACCAAGCATGCTAGTACAGCTAGTCGACTTCAATGATCATTCTCTACGCCTCGTATCGCTCTGTGACCTTGCTAGTGCAATTGCTAAAGCACTAGCACCATCCAACACATCTCTACTTCGAATCCAAGTGCTAGGACTCGCTCTGAATAATACCTGAGGCTCAAGGCACTCAAAGGTAATAGCTCTACTGTCAATTGTGATAGCTAGCTCGATAAACGAGGTGCTAGTACGCATGATCCTGTCTCTTGGCTTGCTAGCCCACTTGTTAAGTCCCTTCGGACTTATTCTGTGCAGTCATTGGTTCTCCTAGTCGGATTACAATCCCTGTTGAATGCCTAGGCCTTTGGTACATCTCCTTGATAGTGTACCTGTCCAGTGTAACGCTTGTAACCGCGCCTAGCACTGTGCAGAATACTACAGCCAGCAGTCGGAGCTCACTCTGACTCTCCTTATATCACCGAACAGAGGTCTGGTGCACTAGTCAATAATGCAGCCAGAAGCTAGTTTATAGCCTGAGTCCCCTAGCACCAACTAGTGCTCATAAAGCTTAAAATAGCCCAATTGCGACACAATTGGTGTTGCGCCGTCTCAGCGCGTTGACTGGACAGTAGTTTGGTAAACCAACCAATCCACCCGTTGAGGCCTTTTCAACCCCACATATCTGAGCATTGAGTTAGAACACCTGATAGCACATGGTGTCAGTGACAACCCTAGGTTGGCCTGATGTTGGCTTTCGGCAGAGAACCCGACTAGGATTTCAAACCCCGGCGTAGCTGATCAGACTTCGTGTTCCGTTCGGGCTGATATGGCGAGACCCCGGTATGCGAGGAAGACGTCCTCCGGATAACGGGATATGGATAGAGTTAAACCCCGAGAGTACTAAGACAGCGAGCAGGGTTTAAAGCGAGAGTCAAGCCCAGGTTCAGACCAAAGTAGTGCCTGAGATTAGACGAGGTAGAATCTACTGTACATTAGATTTTATTGCTACTTTTATACTAAAGAAAGCCCTTGGCGATCACTCGGTGCCTGGTAACTAATTAGCGTTTAGGGTTGGCGTAGAGGAGAACGAACATGCATTCTCCTCTCTATACGATCAAATGTCCGCTGCGTCGGGTTTTACAACCCCTGGAACTCCTGTACCTCGATCAGTGTGATACTATATTACCGATCAGGTGTTTCTGTCTTTGCCAGGCCGTCGTGCCGAACTTGGAACCCCGATGTGTTGGTGTGGATTTTGGGCGTGCCGTGTTATGATCCGAGCGTGATCATGACACATGGTGTGCACCTGCTTTACCTTTGGTGGCCATCAGGTACAGCCAGGAGGCCCCCGTTTGACTCAGAGTCAGGTGATAATTTGGCTGGGTTATTCTTTTTTTTTTTTTTTTTGTCAACACATCTTCCAGGGTTGAACGTTGAAGTAGGGAGCGGTGTGCATCTATCTGCTTTCATTCACCCACCGCACATGTAGGCATGAGGCCCCTGTTTGACTCGGGGTCGGGTGGTTCAATGTAGGCCCTTGTGGGTGTTGCAATCCTTCCTTATCACCCTCATCTTTTTTGCAGATTTCTCAACCAGTATTCCTCTTTCAAACCTCATCAAACTTGGGGCAATATGTAATGCAGCATCTGAAATTTGTTTGACCAACTCAAGAACTTGGCTCTCGACCATGCTGTCCCACTAGATTTGCTGCAGGGTTGAAGTAGAGAGGAGAGCACCGGATGGTGCATGGTGTGCATCTGCTTTGCTCGAGCTGTCAAGCAGTATATGTAGGAAGGAGATCCCCATTTGACTTGGGGTTGGGACGTAGTCTCGTTGTGGATTGCTTTATTTTGTTCTTTTCCAGTTGTTGAGTAAAAGGAGGTCCAAACATCTATTGTCAGCACAGAGGCCTAAGGTTGGGGTTTGGTCCAACTGAGGTGACGAAGCGATACAAAAGGGATAACAAGATTTAAGCCACTGGAGATTAGACCAGAATAGTATACAGTACAGACTTATATCTAGGGTATTTATACTAAAGTCCATAGGAGTGTAACCTAAGCAATATTAAAGTAATAAGGAGCATCTGTCAACTGTCATGTTGTCCCTGACAACTGAAGGTAAGGAGGTTAAATGCAGATATGAAGCAGAGGGGTCTTGGAGACGATTCGATCCCCGATTGAATCAGTGATGTGATTGTTGATCGCATCCCGAAAAGGAACATCGTGGTTCGATCGGCAGACCCCGATCATGACATGAAGTACGGAGAGAAAACACGGTGTGCATCTGCTTTCATTCACCCGCCACACACGTAGGCAGGAGAGGAGGCCCCCCGTTCAACTCGGGGTCGCGTGATTCAGTATAGGCCCTTGTTGTTGTTAGTGTTGCCGCGACTTAGACTTGACCCCCTCTAAGTCGACTTCCGGAAGTCGACTTGAGCCGAGTCAAGCCAAGTTATCGGCAGACTTCCTTGCGACTTCCGAGTCAACACAAGTCGACTTGGAGTCACTTGAGTGACTTGAGTTGGGGGTTTAGTAGAAGCTGCATATTTTCATCACTAGGCGCGATCGGAGCAGTTTTCAATTCCCCCCCCCCCCCCTCCCCTCTCCCCCAACCGGTGTCACACCTGTGACATCTGTCATAGCATGTCACACCTGTGTTGCTTTGCGTTTCCATCCAGTTTTGAAGACAGATTAAATCTGTAAAAATATAGGAAAAATCCTAAATACTACAGCAAAGAATACTGGACTCTCTGATCCATGAAATAGCCCCAGGAACCCAAATTAACACTGGAGTGACTAAACCGACTTGAGTAGACTTCAAGTGACTTTGAGTGACTTGGGCTGACCAAGTCAAGTCGAAGGTTGCCGGAAGTCGGCTGTAAGTCGACTTACCCAAGCCGACTTCCGACTCAACGAGTCGCGGCAACACTAGTTGGTGTTGCAATCCTTCCTTATCACCCTCATCTTTTTGGCTGATTTCTCAACCGGCATTCCTCTTGCAAACCTCTTTGAACTTGGGGCAATATGTAATGCAACATCCGAAATTGTTTGACCAACTCGAGAACTTGGCTCTCGACCATGCTGTACCACAAGGTTGAGGTAGAGAGGAGAACAGCTGATGGCACATGGTGTGCACCTGCTTTGCTTGAGCTGTCAAGCAGTATATGTAGGAAGGAGATCCCCATTCAACTGGGAGTTGGGAGGTGGTCTCATTGTACATTGCTTTTTTTAAAATCTTTTCCAGTTGTTGCGTAAAAGGAGGTCCAAACATCTAGAATGCGAGGTACGAGCACATGTTTTCTGCATTTTGCACATCTAAGGCATGTTCAT